ATTAGAAGGTGATTGCACTCAAATCAAATGATCAAATAAATAGTTTTAGTGTGAGGTGATTACCCTCATATCAAGTAATCAAACAAATATCAAGTAATCAAACAAATAAGTTCATTGGAAGATGACTGCTTCTCAAATAAAGTGTTACCCTTATTCCAAAGTTTAGTTTAACTTACCTAGCTATGTAATTCAACTAAAGATGTCTTGATCGAGACTTAGCTTGAACTTTCTAATTATAAAGTTTAAAATTTCTTGATAATAAAACATGTACTTTTCTAATGACAAAACTTGAGTCTTCTTAATCGGAGGGCTTGAAAAATTCATTATAGTGGGGCTTGAAAACTTTTTAATGACATTGTTTGTAACTTCTTGATTGCAAGACTTGAAACTTTTTATAATAGAGCTCAAAACTTCTTGATGAAAAGGCTTGGGACTTTCTCATTATAGACGTTGAACTTTTTGATGTCAGGGCTTAAACTTTCTAATGACATGGCTTGAAATAAAAGAAAAGGATGGTATTGAAAAGAAAATTATCATCAAATTAATGAGTTTAATTTGAAATAAAAATACTGCTTAAAAGAAATTTATCATCAGATTAATGAGATTTACTTGAAATGAAATGTTGTTTTTTAAAAAATTGTTATTAGACTAAAGGGCTTAGCTTGAAATAAATTTTTAATTGAATTGATGGGCTTAATTTTGTTATAAACTTTTTTAATAGAAAATTAATATTAAACTAATGGGCTTCAATTGAAATAAAATGTTATTTGAAACAAATTTATCATTGGACAAATGGGCTTAACTTGAAATAAAAATATTATTTTAAAAAAATTATTATCAGACCAGTGGGCTTTACTTAAAATGAAATGTTATCTAAAAGAAAAACTTTTCATAGGATTGATGAGCTTGATAGAAAAAATATTATTATGGTTGAAAGGCTTTGTTTGAAGAAAAAATAGCATTGTGGTTAATTGACTAAAAAAAAAGATATTATCATGACTAATAAGATTGATAAGATTAAAAATAATCCAATTGAGGGATGACTAGTCTTAACTTGTTGAAGCACTGTAAGTAAAGAACTTCATAAATCAACATGAGACTTGAGTTTCTTTTTTATAGTAGTGGTTGACTTTGATTTTGTTTCTAGATAATACCTTATAGGGCTAAGGCATATTTTGAAAATTCAATCTTTTTTTTTCCATGTCATTTTCATTTTTCAAGATCTTCAATTTCATAAGTATCAATAATTAGGTACTTACTTGAATTGTTTAAATGACAAAAATTTCCACCAATGCTCTCTATGAGTTTTCTATTTGTTCACTAATTAAATATGATTTATTCATCGTATTATCTTGGCCATATTAATTCTTTTTATCATTGCCTTACAAGTGTAAAATGAGAGTATCTTCTCATTACTATTTATTTTCAAAATCACCATAAAAAAGTTGTCGCCTCTACTATTTTCAACTTGTGATGGAGTTCTTTAAATCATCATATAACTATAGTTTTTACCATAAGTTTTTTTAAACTAAAATGTCTCTATTTAACCTAATTATATTTATCCTTCCAATAACTATCATGAGGTATGCATACATGCATCATCACTAATATTTTTTTTAAGAATCTTATTGTAAAACATTTTTCATGAAATTATCTTTTTTTTCTTTGTTTTCAATACCAAATTGCAAATTCTAATGATTATGCTCATACAAATCCAAATTTTGAAATGAAATTGTTGTCATACAAATTTAAAAGTATTTTTAACAAATAAACATTTAGGTTTCTTTGATTAAAAACCTAAAGCATGTCATTCAAAGGCTAGCTGCAGCTTTGGATATTTTTTTGTTGGAATAAGAAAAAAATAGGTTTGTAGAAAAAACATTATCCATAAATTTTTGACTATTTCTAAGAAATGGCATAAATAGATTTTTCAATATATATAAAGCTATGTTATAAGGGAAAAAATTGGTTTTCAAAAGGAGAGTTTTGACTTTTTTTAAAAGGAAAACATCTTGCTTTTTGTTGTGTTTATTTGCCTATTTATTAGTGAAAACTCATAAATCAATCTCATAAAAGATGATATGTAACCCATAAATAGGTCATGATTTTTTCTTGACAATCATTTTCTTCTTTTAAAAGATGATATGTAACCCATAAATAGGTCTTTTTTCTTGACAATCATTTTCTTCTTTCTTTAGAGGCTACCACTTATCAATATAAACAAACTTTTTCTTAATAAAAAAAAAGCTTTTAAAAGCATATAATATAGGCTAGAGAACTTGATTATAAAAAAATGAGATCTATATAAGGCTCAAATGGTGTTTAAGGTTCTAAAAACATATAATTATTTTCTTTATGGAGATCTTCTAGGCTTGTTGTCTTGATTTTGACATTAATTGATCTCACCTTAATCTCAATTCTTAAAACTCTATCTCATTATTTGTCATTGATATTTTTCTTTAATTCTAGACTTTACAACATCATTAAGGATACTTTTTGAAAAAAAAAAAACGGGTTAGAGCACTTTATTTCACATGAAAAACTCCAATCAAGTAAAGCTTGTTAAGATGTTTTTTGCAAACATGAGAATAAATATGGAGCATAGGATTGCTAAATAAATGTATCGAGTTTGACCGTATAACTTTAGCTAAGATATTAGTTATATCTAATAAAGGATCTAGATTATATCTATTAAAGGATCTAGAGTATTTGAAGTCAGAGTTATAAAAAAAAATTGATGGTTTTATATATGATGAAGATGTGATCATGCATACTAATAATAAGTATGACTTTGCACTAAGTGTAAAGGTTAATGAGGTTAATGAGCATAGAGTCATTGCACACAATATTCTATAAAAAAAAAGTGTAATGAGGTTAAATTCACAAACATGTGCTTGATAGATTATATGATTTGAGGTCACCAGATAAACCTACCATATATTATGATGAGGAACATGATAATGGCTCATGAC